GGGGGGGGTGTTTGTAGGGTCTTTCAAGATCCTGCCTCTGCTAGTATTAAAGGTGTGTACCACCACACCCCACTACGTTTTTTCTTTTTAAATTTAACATTTGTGTTTTTATGAAACACAACACAGAGACTATTTAGAGACTTTGTAGAGAAAACTTGTTATAACTGGATGTGGTGGCATATACTACAGCTTAGGAAGCTGAGGCAGGAGGACTGCCAAGAGTTTTGAGGTGACCATGAACTACTTACTGAGTACCAAGCCAGCCTAGAAAGATTAAACTAGGTCCAATCCACTCTTAGGTGACCTTTCAGTGGCTTTAAGATGTAAGTGCAGGAGCCACAAGAGTCTTTCAAGGGTTAAGAGCACTGGCTGCTCCTTCAAGGATCAGAGTTCAGCTCCCAGCACTCACACCAGGTTGCTCACAGCCACTAGGTCATCTGAGGCCCTTTTCTGGCCCCCCAGGTTATCTGACGCCCTCTCCTGGCCCCCAGGTCATCTGACGCCCTCTCCTGGCCCCCCAGGTCATCTGACACCCTCTTCTGGCCCCCCAGGCCATCTAATACCCTCTTCTGGCCCCCCAGGTCATCTGACACCCTCTTCTGGCCCCCGTGGGCACCTGCACCCACATTTACATAACACAAAATTAAAAAAATATTTTTTCTTTAAAGATGTAAGAGGAAACATAAGGTGCAGCAAGATGGCTCAGAGAGTGACGGTGCTTGCCACTAAGACTGAGGACTTAGGTTCCATCCTTGGGACCCATGTAGTGGAAGATGGGGAGCCGACTCTCCTGGCTCTAGTTCCAAGGGACACAATGCCCTCTTTGGGCACTTGTCCTCATATGCATATTTATTTTAATAATAATTAATTTAATAAATAAATGATTAAAAATAATTTTAAGAGACATACATGGATCTATATAAGAAGGAAAAAGGACAAGATCTCCTGAACAAATTGGGAGTATGGGGGTCACAGGAGAAGGAAGAAGGAAAGAGAGGAGGAAGAAAGGGGAAATAGCTCAATAAAAACAATAAAAAATAATTTTTAAAATAAAATCTTTTTGACTTAGTATGGAAAAGGTTTCTGTCTATTTGGCTTGCTGAATTTCAGACACTGGGGCTGGAACGCAGGACCTTGCAAGCGTTAGCAAGAGCTCTACCACTGCACTGCACACCCATATTTTGTTCTGTTTTGAAAGAGGATCCCTCCAATTCCGCCAGACTGGCCTAGGATTCACTCTGAAGTCCAAGCAGGCCTTGAACCTCCTGTCCAGCTGGAGAAAGGCTCTTCCAACAAGAAATAGCAAATTTAAGAACAAAATTTGAAAAAAACCAAAAAGCTGGGTGGTTGGTGGTGGTGCATACCTTTCTTTAATCCCAGCACTTGGGAGGCAGAGGCAGGAGGGTCTCTGTGAGTTCAAGGCCAGCCTGGTCTATAGAGTGAGTTTGAGTTCCCAGAAAGCCAGGACTGTTACACAGAGAAACCCTGCCTTGAAAAACCAAAAAAGAGGGACTGGAGAGATGGCTCCGAGGGTAAGAGCACTGGCTGCTCTTCCAGAGGTCCCAAGTTCAGTTCCCAGCAACCACATGGTGGCTCACAACCATCTGTAATGAGATCTGGTGCCTTCCTTGCCAGCAGTACATTTTATGCTTAATAAGTAAATAAGAGAGAGAGAGAGAGAGAGAGAGAGAGAGAAGGCAAACTGATATTTTCCAGAATGACAAAACTGAAGTAGATAACGCCACATCTTGGCATGAAGGTATGAGAAGAATAAAAAGGAAAGTACAGAGTAATACCTGCATGGGACTCAGCACAGGAGGGAAAGGCTGGGGAAATGACGCTGGAATCCCAGGACTGTGTAGAAGCCACCAGAAATGCTCAAAAGATCAGGGTAAGCTAAGGTCACTAGTGAACAATGGTTCACTCCCAGAAGGAAGGTCCCAACCCACAGTGGAATAGCTGGGAACGGGTCTGAACCCAGCATGTTGCCACAGGCAACAGTAGCCACAGTTAGAAAGTTCATAGGAACAACAGTAGTAGTGTTGAAAAAGTATCTTTTTTGAGAAACTGTGAAAAGTAAAATAATTGTCCTGATAATAAATAGAAGGACCGGGAGACATTTGACTGTAAGAGCAACACATCAGGCCGTTTTGTGAAGGCCAACGCCAGTAATTACAGCACGCCAGAAGCCAGGGCAGAAAGAGAACCAGTTCAAGGCCAGTGGGACTACACAGTGCATTCCAGGTTAGCCTGGACTGCAGTGTGAAACTCTCTCAATAATACACACATATATAGACACACATATATACATATATACACATTATCTATAGGTTGCCACAGGCAACACAATATATGTGTATATACATTGTGCGTGTATGTGTGTGTATATACTGTGTGCGCGTATGTATGTATGTATGTATGTATATATGTGTGTACACACACACACATATATACATACACCTGAAAGAGAAAGAAAGGAAGGGGGTGGAAAGGACGGGAAGAAGGCTGGTGTGATGGAACACATCTGTAATCCCAGAACTTGGAGGCAGGTCATCAGGAACTCAGGAAAGTCATTCTTCACTACATAGAGAATTCAAGGCCACCCTAAAAGAACAGAAAGCCAGGTCAGATTCCAGAGAATGGCAACTCATAATAACAGAAGATGGCGCTCTTGAGCTGGAAAAAAACACTAGGAAAACCATAGAACCTCTCCCCACTGTCTTCCAAAAACAATGTTAAAATATTAAAAGTTGATTTGGGAAGAGCACACCAATTTTTATCCAATGCCAAGTGGTCATCCCTAAAAACATATATGAATAACATTACTGTCACAATCTTGAAGATAGATTCATGTAGTTAGTATAACAGAAGTTATATTTGATTATGCTGAGGGGCGTCACACAAGGTTCACATTCTACATTCCAAAGTCTCTGTCCCCAAGGATGCTCACCTGTGTGACTGGCATATCTTAGCTGGGGGTCAGGTCCAGTCTCTAACAGAAATCTCTGATTTGAGGGTCAAAAGCATTTTCTCATTATAGTTACTCAGGCTGAGCAGGTTGTATTATGCATTTAGGAATGTGTGTGTGTGTGTGTGTGTGTGTGTGAATGTATGTACACACACACACGCACACAAAACAACTAAAGGGAAAAGCGGCCATGAATTTGAAAGGGGGAGGGTACGTGGGAGGGTTTGGAGGGAGAAAAGGGAAGAAAGAAATATTGTCATTGTAATCTCAAAAAAATATTAAAAATAAAAAAGTTGGCTCAGAAAAAATGACATATTAAACTATGATAACAATAAAAAAATTAGTATCTAAAATTACAATAAGAGCTGGGTGATGGTGGTGCACGGCTTTATTCCCAGCACTCAGGAAGCAGAGGCAGGTGGAGTGGATCTCTGTGAGTTCGAGGCCAGCCTGGGTCTACAAGAGCTAGTTTCCAGGACAGGCTCCAAAGCTACAGAAAAACACTGTCTTGAAAAATCAGAAAATAAAAAAATTAAAAACTAAAATTACACACACACACACATACATCTACACACACAAAGAACCACAGTAAGTTTTTGTTTTGTTTTGTTTTTGTTTTCATTTGGGTTTTTCCAAGACAGAATCTCATTATGTAGCCTGGAACACCACATAGACCGCCTCAAACCCACAGAGATCCACCTGCTTCTGCCCCCCAGTGCTGGGATTAAGGATGCACCACCATGCCCAGACAGAACCATACGTGTTATGGAAGCGTGATAACTCGTGTTCCAAAGCAGCGAATGCAATCAAATGACAAGGTGCACAAGCACAGACTGCTGTGTCCCCAGCTGCCTTCAGGGCTAAAGTGTGCACTGCTGACGACGTTAGTCTTTCTCTGGGAATTTCCTTTAGACAAAGGGAACCCTCCACCCAAGGCCACCCCTTTTCCTCAGGGCAGCAGTGACTTCCCTTGCAGGGTATGAAGTTCTCATCTGCAGGTTGAAGTCTCTGAAAGGCCAGTCTGTTTCAGAGCTCATGAGTTTCCCGGCAGTCACTCTTCTGAGCAGGAAGGTCACAGTCATCACCAGTTACATGGGCAGTGTTGGGCCGGCTTGGGGTCCATGTGATCATGTCGAAAGACAACTACAGCAACCGAAAAAGATGTTATTCAAACCCTTCCTTATGGGATCAGCTGAGACCATCGAGGCCACTGGATCAGGCCCTGCCTTCCACTAGCCTGAGAACTGTTACTTGGAAATTTTGCATGACCAAAGCCATTATCAAAACTTAAATGATATAAAATTTAACTTTGCTGAGACCACAGCATACGTTGTGGCCCAGGCTGACCTAGAACTCACTATACGAGCAAGGCTCACAAGGAACTCAGACTCTTGCTTCCGCAGCTCAGATGGGCTCACACTCCACCACGCCCAGACATAAAGTCAAATTTAAATAAATTATATTCAAAGCTAAAGGAACAAACATTCAGCAGTTACCTTTCCTTCTTACTGTATGGTCTGCTGTTATCTGTGTTCCAGGGCAAGTACTCAGTACTGAAAGCAGTCGAAGGCTACAGATCAAAGTTTTTGTCCTCCAGAGAGCTGCTTGTTAAACGTTAACCAGCTGTGGCCTCCGTCCAGTTCCTCCTCGCACAAGGGCATGCTCAGCAAGCACCTGGCACACACCCTTGTCTCAAAGTCAGTGTCTCTGGGAAAGTGACCCAAATCAACAAAAAAAGATATCTAGGGGAAACCCCTGTGATAAACTGAAGTAAGATACAGGGGACAGATAGAGACTAAGCCCCTCCCCTCCTCTCAGAGAGATCCCACCTAGGGTTACGACAGCGGACAGCGGACAAGCAGTCTACTGCTACGCCATAATCTCCACCCCAAGTCAGCAATTCAAAAGCTCAGAAACAATACTGGGGACCTGGCGTACCTGCAGCTCTCTCAGAGGGGTTTGGCCCCGGGACGCACGTGGTGGTCCAGGACTGCCTGTAATTCTAGTTCATGGACAGGTGGACACTTCAGCTTCTGCCAGCATCTGCACTAATGTGCACAGACACACACACACCTACACATGGTTAAGTATAATAAAAAATAATTCTTAAAAATTGAAACCAGACAAAACAGATTAAACATACAAATTTGGTGCCTAACAGAAGAAATCCAAAATAATGAGATAAAACTAATATTTACAACTATAATTCAAATTCAGTCACACTTCTATGGAGGGAAGAAGACTTGAATTTGTCCCAGAGGGGACCCAGCAGTTTGGCGAGACAGTGAGTGGGGAAGGGCTCTTGCAGCCAAGCCTGAGGACCTGAGTTCCATCCCCAAGACCCATGCAGTAGGGGAGAACCAGCTCCCACAAGTTGTCCTCTGACTACTTCAGTCTTGCAGTGGCACATGGGAGTACATACAAACACACACACACAACATTGTTGCGGGAGGTCCTTCCGCCCCTCCAACCAATAGCTGCTGTGATACCAGCCCATTGGGGCGTGGTCTCTCTCCCTTTAAAAAAGCGGCTATTTCCTCTGCTCGCTCTCTTCACTTCCTGCTCTGCCGGAGACTAGACTCCCTTCCTGGTTGTGCAGATGGCTGTTGTCTGGGACGGTGATCTGTAAGTTTTCCCCTTTAAATAAATAACACCCTATTAATCATAACTCCAAAC